AGCTGCTCGTGTATCGTGCTGAATATTGCGCCGAACTGGTGTGAGAGCCGGCGAACAGATTCCGGTGTTTTGGCGTGCTCCTGCCGTGTTTTTTTTTAGTCTCGAGAAGAGAGAGGATATCTGGGGAGAGCGTTGCAAAAGGCTTCGAAGGCAGCCGATGGGGGGGGGGAACAGCGAAGTTTATTCACTTCTTGTAGTCCAAGATAAGCTTCTGTCCTTTCTTCCAGAGCGCTCTCTCTTGTAGCAGGAAAAAGTTATAAAGCAGCAATACAAAGAGAAAAAGTAGTGTTTGTAGAAAAATAGAAGAAAAACGGGGTGTGTTGGAAGGAAGGGCTACCGCTCCCCTTGCCCTCACCATAAAAAAAATAGAAACCCATAATAATGGTTTGATACTACATATGTTTGCAAATAAGGTTTCTTGGGCTTTGGGGCCGAACTACGCTGTAGCAGATAGGATGCAGCTCTATTTTCAGAGCCGTTAATAACGAGTTTTGTAAGGCATGGTCTTTTACTGGCCTTATGAGTAAAGATCATGACAAAACTGAAGGTGAGAAAGCTTAGATCAACAAGAGGTTCTGGTAAAGAACAGTTCAGAGGAAGGAGAGTGATACAATTTAAATAAAAAATAAAGAGATACATTCAGAAACCTAAACTGACATTTAAGAATATGTTTCTCTTGGCTATAATAGATGGAGTTTTGCCTTTCCACAAACTAATGAACAGGCTATGAGGCAAAAATTGAAAGTGAAGTAAAGAAACACACGGAGGAGGGAGGGTAACAGAGGAAGAGGCAGACTGTGAGATGACAAGCTGGCCTTCAAATGGTGGGTAGGCAGATTCGAGACAACAATAGAGGGTGATTTGTTATCTTTTTTTTCTTTCCAAGTTTAATATTCCAAACGTAACTGTTATATTCACTACAAAATTGTTCAAAAATCTTCATCTGGTGTCAATAGATTGTAATTACATTTTTTTTTCCTGATTGTCTAAGAAGGTAGTACTCTATTTACAGAATGTAAACAAAATCATGTCAAAGGTATAAGATTTAAACATGTGCCAAAGACATCAAATTGTTGAAGATTTGTGGTAACGCTTCCCAACTTGCTTCTGCCATTTATATTTTCATTTATGAATAAGGCAGAAAAATGATGGTTGGATGACCTTACACATAAGTTTTGTAGCTTGTTTAATACTGAACTTCATACTGAGTTACTGCTGGATAACTGCAGATAAGATTTTTTTTAATATATATATCTCATTAATTTAAGGGCTATAGATGCTGCATTGGGCTCTTTCCTTTTCTATAAAAATTCAGTGCATAATTTGATTAGCCTCTACCTTGTTAAGTCTGTGTGACTAGTTCAGCCAGTACTATTTGTCTGTAGTAGGACATCCAGAAGCATGTAGCTCCTGTTGCTTTTGGGCAGCCCTCTGGGTATTGCTTATTGAGGATGTGTGGGATGGTTGCCCAGTTGCTTACACTGCATGAAAAACCCCAGGCTGAATCATGTTGTAACGAGTTACAGGGAGTATACTTCTGACAAGTTAAATTGGAACTGTTACGGTGTGTGTGGTGGTGGTAAGTGGTTGATGTTGCACAGGCTGGAGTTTCGGCAAGTGTGTTTTGTTTTCCTTCATAAGATTTTCATTAAACAAGAAAGGAGCATTCTTTTTGTCTCTCCCTATAGAATTATCCTGTGCTGTTTTCATAGGGTATGTGAGAGCAGAAATTCTTGTTCAGCAAGACTGGGACTACCTGTTACCTGTGGCTTGGAAGCTAATTTTTGTATGCCACTTAGGCGGGTCCATCAAAACTCAAGAGGAAACAACTGGAGACCAAGAGGGTTCATAGACCTAAAATGGGGTTCACCATAGACTTAAAATTTTCCTGTATTTTAGCAGCTGATATTTGAGTTTCACCTGTTTCAAACTTGTAACATAGGCTTGTATCCTCACTTGTACTACTTGGAGGAAGTCTGGGTTTTACCACGTGGTTTCAACCTGTGTAGCTTCAAGGGTAGAGCTGAGGCAAGGATTGGAGTTTGAATTGTGATAGTTCTTCAGTGTGTTCCCACAGTTCTGCAGGGATTGTGTTGTCAGGTCCTCCTACCTGCTCTCCTGGTGCTTACCGTCTCGGCCCAGATGCGATTTCCTGGGTTATATATAACCAGTGAGCATTTAAGCTTCCCATTTCCTGAAAACTGCTCTCCTTCTACAGAGCTGAGTTTGATTGCAGAGGGCAAGCAGATGCCCTGAAAGACCCTCATCCTGCTCTAGAGGTAAGATGACCCGTGTCCAAAAGGGTAATGAGAAATGCGATTGCTGAAGGATGTGTTCAAAATCAGTGTCTGAAAGCATTTGAAAGAGCTTTTGTGAGGATGACGTTTTTAAGTGGTAGTATATCCTGAGATGCCTGGTACCTGAGGGTAAAACATCAACAAAGCATCCAGGAGGATACGTGGCATGGTGGATTAGGAATGCCATGGACTGTGGGCTGCAAAAGTAGAGCCCCATTGCTATGCTTAAGAAAAATGTGTCTGTGAGATCTCGCTGTAGAAGTCAGCCCTGGGAAAGAGGGGCCAAAGCCAGCCAAGTGAGAAAAGGGCAAAGGGTGGATCCAGAGTGCAAACCATCTTTTATGGCCAGAGGGTATCCTTGGTCTGGATTAGCTGGCTCCTCTGCACTCCACGAGGAAGCAATATCAGAGGTGAAGCCACAACCAAGTAAGAGGGAGCTACTACTCTTCATGGAGGGTTGATGTAATGTATGTAAGAGAGTTTAGAAAAAAATACCACTTCTTTAGAGACTGCTCAATTCTGTGAGGCAGTAGCTAAATTGCTTTAGCTGCAAATAGAGCCTTGGTCCCCTGTTTTTCCCAGCTGTGGGATATGCACTGCTGAGGTCCTGCCTTGGAAAATAGAAGCATGCACTGCGTTCTATTATGAATACATCACCTAACTGTGTGAGCTAATTAATGTTTTAGAGCAGGTGAGACTGACTGTGCAATTATTCACATCCAGGCGTGTTCACATGTTAGTATGTCACGTCTAGATGTCAGTAAACGACTTATCGGAGGGAAAGTGAGGTAGGTCCCAGGCAGAAAGCTCACTGCTTTCTCCTTGCTTGGTGAAGCTGAGGAAGAGGGTGGGGAGAGGAAGATGGGCTTCATGGTGGTTTTAGCATTTAACTTTCCACGTGCTCTTCATCTATAATGTTCTGCTGTAAAGAAAAAAATTAAAAAGCAAGTTCCTTAAGAAGTTTCTGCAGTTGAGTTCAATACAAAAATTTTTACCCAAATTATAGTCGTATCTTATCCTCTAGAATTCTTTTCATGGGGAAGTTCACATTCATTTCACCTTAGCCTGTGTAGCATCTCAGTGGACTTTAAATGTGGACCTGTGGAGCATTTGTTTAGCAGCAAACTTAACAATGAAGTCTGTTTGGTCAACTGTTCCTCCTGCTTGGCAGCAGCACTGAATATAGGAAGCTTTACAGCTGAGCTTCCAAACCGAAATAGTGCTATGACCATTGCTGACAGTGGCTCCTGGTCTGAATAACCTCTTTTTTCACTTGCAGACCTTGACTTGTATGCCTGCTTTGAAAAGTTAAAATTGGTGTGTGGCATGCCACTGGTTCTGGGGACTAGCAGTCTGTTGTGTGGCAGCCACTAAAAACACCTGCAAAAATGAGATAAAGGCATATCATGGAAATAAAAAAGTTTCACCCTTTTGCACTGCTGTCGTGTAGACAGTTGTGTTTTTTTTTTTTTTTTTTTTTTTAAAAAAAAAACAACCTAACACTGTTTTATGGTGAAAAATATTACCTTCTGTTTTATTTTTGGAGGAAAGCCCCAGTCCTGCTGGGTTAATTCAACCACCCAGCGTCCAGAACTCTTGAGAAATTGATTTTGGCCAGCAGGGGGAAGAGGAAGATTAAGGACAACTTGAAACAAAAGGGGCATGGTTTTCTGTGGCTTCGAATGCAGGACGGATACATTCCTAGATAACAAAAGGAGCAGCTAAAATGTGACGGGAATGACATGATATCCCAGGCTTGGACTCTCAGACAGTATGTGGTTGCTCTCTCCTTACTCCTCTATGTGAGTAGATACTGTAAGTATTGGTCAGTTCTGTGGGGGACAACCCACATGTTCCTAGACCAAAAATAAACAGTATTGCATGCACATCTGTTTTTCCTGCAGAGCATGCCCTTGGAAGTGAGACGTCACACGTTGGGGTGCTAAACGTGGCCTCTGACTGGCAGCTGGCCTGCCTTGCCTCTCTCCTGGAAGTGCTGGCTGGACACTGTACCACTCTAGTAAAGCGTTTGATAAGGCCTCTTGTCCCAACTTTCCCCCGTCTGTGTCATGCTGGTACAGACAAAACCCAAAGCTTTTTAGTAGGCTATTGAAAATCACAGGAGTAAAGTGGAAGTGAGAGTGTGCGTGAATAACAATACTACGGAACCTGAAACTCGTCCTGCAAAACGAGTTTGTCCTTATTTATGTATGGCTTATTTCTCTGCTTTCCGTGACCAAGCTGTAGTGGTCAGAGGTGTGCTTTCTGGTAGCCTATGCCAAGTTGTTTGATTTAGAAAACCCTATTTTTTAATAAGCTTATTGATACAAATGTGACTTGGTAGAGTAATTGCTGTGTTGACTTGAAAGGCCATTGCACTTATTCCTCAAAGCTTTTTTTTTGTGATGGGCCAAGCAAATGGTCTGTCTACATGTAAATGTTTGGAGAGAGTTTAAACTTTATGGTATTTTTGTGTTCAGAGCTGGTTTTCTTCTTCCTTGGCTTGTAAGTAAAAAAAGCCCAAAGAAAGTAGGGGCAGACATCTTATTGCTAGCATTTGTAAGGACCAAGCCTCTAACTTCTTTGGAGAAGAAATGTTAGAATTTCTAAATAACTGCCTGTCATGTGGCCAGGGATATTCAGACCTTGTCTTTTGGGCTGAGGTCTGTATGATAGTGTGTAGGTCAGCTGGAAGGGGTGATACTCCAAAGAACTGCAGATCAGAAAATAAATGAAAGGGCAGTTTTCTGCCATGAATGATCTGTTTAGAAATGATGTTTCTCTCAAAGTTGGCCACTATTTTAAGATGTTTGCAGTCTCTTCTTCTCCTCTGTAATCTCCAGTAAGATCTGCATTAATGTTTTTGTAATGGCTTTGTACCAAATACTGATTTTCCTGATGCCAGACCCCACTAACTCACTGTTAATAGCTCTGTGAACATTGAAGCTAGCTACCTCAATAGCAGTGTGGTTGTCAGATAGTACGGCTTTTCTCACGTGCACCTTCTGGGGCTTTGGGGCCCTGGAGAGTAACATGAAAGTGTCCATTTTAATGAACAGTGATGTAATCCTGGCATTTGTATGCTTGTTGACATGAGCTGGAACTTCTCATCAGCTTCAAAGAAAGTGTGTACCTTGGTTACAGCTTCTGCTCTCCCATCATGTTGCTGAATGTGTTTAATCTTTTTACCAGGCCTGCTGCTCATGGTTTGTGAGGGTAAACACTGCTGCTGGGATGCCTTCCACGGACCCTCAGAGGTGCTGCATCCTACCTTCTCTGTACAGTGTTGGATCTGAGTCTCTGCAGCAGCCGAAATGACTGGAAGGAAGTAATGTGTGCAGTCTTGTGTGTTCTTAGACGATGAATGCAGACAAGGGGTTGAGGAAGATGTTTGCTATAGCATAAAAATCTTTTTACCAAAGTGCTTAATTCTGGTGTGCCAAGAACCTTGGCACGTTCCCCAAAATTGGAATAACTCATCACAGCTCATTCATAAATGTAATGTGCAAGTAATGAATCACTGTGTTGTTTGTAGATGGTCACGAACAAATGGATCCAGGGAAAAAAATATGTAAAAAGCATGTGAGGGCCACTGAAACGAGAGAAAGTTTTGACGTGATCTGCGTTGTAGTGGAGGGAGCTATCTGCAGTAGCAGGATAATTAATGTACTGATCATGAAATCTTAATGTTGTGACATTAGCTGGAGCATTGCAAATGCAGCTATTCACTTAAGTTCTTACCTTGCAATCTGTGAACAACTAATCATAGTGTCTTGCAAATTTATAAAGTATTTGCTTTGCAGTGTTAAATGCTAAATGTAATGTTTCTCTGCCTTTGATCTTCTATCTTTTTTAGACATTTTATGGGAAAAGTGGATGTGTCATCGCCATCTCTTTTATGAATTAATCATGGAAGGTGGTATTAATATGCAGACTGTATTATTTAACATTGTGTACTGTAAAAGTATCCTGGAATAATTTATAATACAATTTCCAAGCTATTACTTGTAGCTGAATCACTTAAATACAGTCAAAATCACAATCCTCCAAGTAAAGAATGTAGATTCAACTTTTACTGTACAGTTGGAATTGAAAAAGAGCTTTACATTTGGTGCAGTCCTGGTATTATTAAAATAGGCCTGCAAGTAGTGAATACTGTTACAAATTCAGGTTACATTTAGCATGTGTTAGAGCCAAAATCACTTTCTCAGAGCTGTGAGAAAATCATTTGTTCGGGTCTCTGAGTAGCTGAATGGCTAAGGTATTTCACAAAGCTAGGTAGGTGCATGTTGGTTGGCATTCTTAACGAGTGGTGTTACAGTTTGATTATTTATTTCCTAATAACTTTCAGTAAACGAAATTAAAGAGCTAGCAGAATACTGGAGAATTGGGACATGCAAGTAAGAACTGCCACCAAAGCAGTGTTTCTATTGTGGTTTATTTTTCCCCATTCAAGCATTACCTGCTGTTTTACGTTCATCTTACAATTTGGGTAATAGGAGTTGATGTAGCATCAGTGTAATCTTTATTTGTATTTTATTTTTTTTTCCCCTCAGTCTTATAGCTTGGATAAGTAAATTTCTGGCTTATAGGCTGACTGTGCTTTTTCATCAGTCTTCAGTATTGGAAGAAAGCATATACTAGCAGTAGAGAATGTACCCATCAGCAGGAGTTGTTGGAAATCACCTACTCCTGACAAATCCTAGTCTTTTGCATAGGTAAAACTTGTTCTTTATTTAAGGATTTCTTTTTTTGTTGTTGCAGAAACAGATTTTTTTTTTTTCAAGTGGGACCTGGGTTCTTTAAAACTTTCCTTTTTCTTTCTGCGGTTTTAACTGAGAAGCTAGTTAGTCCTCTGTCATGTTTCAGGTTGGAGTTTGCCTGACAATAGAATTAAATGTTTTGGATTCACCTTCAGAGTTGTGGAAAGAAGAGTTCCCTCAGTTCCAGTCATTAAAGTAACTGTGTGCCAGCTCCCAAGGTTTCACTATTACTTATTAAAATAAAGACTTATGTACTTCTTAGTACATATGCTATAATATTTCTTAGAAATATTTTTGAGGTGTATACTTTTTCATCAATGGGTAAAAATAAGGCTCAGTAAAAATATATTGTTGAAGCATGTCTCCTACCCTATAGGAGCCAAGTAAAAGCTGTCAAGTAGAAGTTTGAAAGCTGGAGAAGGTAGCATTACTGTCATTGTGCTCCAGCATTGCTTCCATTGCTGCAAGTGCTCTACACATGCAGCTGAGGGAGACCTGAGTGGTTTTCGCTGGTGCTGCTCTGAATTTTGCTAGGGGTGTATGCTCTTGCGGTTAAAAAATAAAAAAAAAAAAAATAAAAAAAAATTAAAATTCACTGAGATGGAGGGTTTGGAGCCAGTGCTGTGTCTTCCTTACCAGATGGAAAAAAAAAAAAATAGTTTTTGCACTGGTAATGGTGGCTGCTGGGACAGGAGCAGATTCCCATTCTAGAGTGTTGATGCTTGGCATGTAAGCGTTTCAGCCTCATGCAATGAGGTGAGCTTGGCTGTGGAAAGAATGTGCTGGTTTGGCTTAACCCACCAGGCCTGGACCATGACAGCTGTAAACTGAGGTGATGAACAGCCATGTGTCTTTGTGTTATTATGCATTGGGTAACACTGGCACGTGTTTAACAAGGAAGGATTCCTTCCTACTTACTCTAGTGCTCTGTTTGATTATAAAAATAAACCACCCTTTTAGGCAAGATATTTGGATAAATGCTGCCTGTAGCCGTATCCATAAATTTTTCTGTAGTGGTCTTGCTCTATGCTTGCAATTATTTTTAATTTGGTATGACTTCTGCCGGTTTCCAGAACAAAACAGGATGTGAGATATCCACAGATCATGTCAGCATTCTTTAGTTACGTGCCTATACTTATGCCTCACTTCATAGGATTGAGAGGCGGATCTTAACGTTACGTGTTTCAGTGAAGCTTGTGTTTTGCTGCCTAATCTTCCTTTAATCAATAGAGGATCTGACTTTACAGTATTAATGTTAAAGCGTATTGATTGTTGCATCCAGAAGTTGCATTCACAAGGTTTTCTGTCCTTTTGTCTGAGTTAGCCTTAAAACCCCCACTGTGCACATCCTGCGAGCTTTCTCAAGCTGGGCTTTCTACCTGCAGCTCTGGGAGCAGGGACCTCTCCTAGTTCCCACCACGGCAGCAGGACCCATAGGTGACAGTGCCCTTCCTCACCCGTGCTTGCCAGTTCAGGGGGCAAATGTTCACTGCAGTACCTCAGTGACTATTGCAAAGACTTTTTTCCAGTTTAAGCTCTGCATGAAGAAGCTACTCATCTCCTGTAATACAATTCCATATGCAGAGCACATCTACTGTGATAGTGTGGGTTTGTTTGTTTATTGTATATCCAGTTCAAATGTTTTGACTTTAGCCTTAAGCATTGTTATGTTTGAGGAACTGGAACTAAAACTTCTACGAACACTTCAGGAAAAAGTCAATGCTAATTTGGTAACAGAAAAATTACAATTTTAGAATGTGCCCCTTAAAGTATTTGTAAGCATGGGAAGCTGCAGCTGTATAGGAGACTATACTGTCAGTTCATGTGAGTGGTATTTGTTTTTTTTTTTCTTTAGCTGAAAGGTCAGGTGGATATGTTGGACTTGCCCTTCTCTCTCTTGCCATTAGTCCTTTAGAGAGAGAGAGATTTCCTTACATGTTTTATTAAAATAATACAAATAAGTATCAGTTGAAATGGAAACTTACTTTAGGTCAGAGTTAATGATTTTAAAAGGCACCTTGTAGTTGCATTAGAGGAAAAATATCTGAAAGCAGGTGTTACCTGGTCGTTAAGTATACACTGACAAAAGTTTTATCCCATGGGTCATACAGGTCTGTTATTTTACTGCCTCTAGGAGAAGAATGTTACTTTGTCAGAGTGAGTGTCTGTAAAAACAGACTAAGCAAACCTGTTACTCAGCTGCTACGCTGTAAGATCAGAAGTTTTGGGCTGATTTGAGCAATCATATAGAATTTTAGGAAATTGCCAGAGATTCTGAACTTTGTCTTTAAACTGTTCAACGACTTACCTGATTTGTCTTAACCAAAGCCAAATCGCCTTAACAACCTTCTTAATCAAAAATCCTTGCTAAAGAAGGGATGGAGGAGGGCCAAGTGCTGTGCCTTGTTGGGGAAGAGAGTCCCAAGGCTCTCTCACTTAGCTTAAAGAGATTCTGTCCCTTCTTCTGTTGTGCTGCCTGTGGACCTTCTTTGAGGAGAAGGGGTCAGGTGGGGCAGAGTCATATTTTGTTTAAGTCTCTGGGTAGTAGGTGTTTGGAAAAAAAACAACTTGTGTCCTCCTGAAGAGCTTCATTCAGAAAGTACTTTATCCTTCTGCATACTTTGGGAGAATTAGGAAGTCAATTTTAAGTGATTTGTGTCTTCACCTTTTTTATATAAAAATAAGGGTGATAAAACTGTAATGGAGTACTGTTTTGTTAGTCTCCTAGTTGAGAAAGGGGATGGAAGTAGAGATCTGTTTATTTTTACTTAGCTTCCACAACAGCCTCCATTTTCTAAGATGTAATTATCCTTATCTCTATTGCATGTCTTCTTTGCTTGTAACTTCCACAAGCAACAGAAACAGCAGAATAAAACTGGTGTGTGAGTTTGGGTTTTTTTGACAATTTAATCATTTCACAGTCACTGTATTGCAGGAGTGACAGTAGCTAATTGAAGTTGGTCTTTTGCCTCGTTAGAGCTGTGGATAGCAACTAAGGCATTCAAGGTGATTGTAGGCTTAGGGAAACAGTGTTGCCTGAGTTCACCTTCATGTCAGAATGCAAGGTTCTTTACAACCACAGAAGTCATCCTTTTTTTCATGAAACACATCAATTTAAGTTTGGCAAGAGAACAGTCAGTGGCTTTGATACCCCCTCCTTTAGCTCTACCCCTACTGCTTTTCTAGTGAAAGCTTTTTGGCCATCACTGGGAAGTGACTGATTGGATTCTGCAGAAGTTGACATCTTTACTTGGGTTCTGTGTAGTTCTTGGCAGCTTTTTGGAGAGCTGTCAGCTTGAGATCTGGGCTGTTTGGAACAGAGCTGTGGAATAGTTTCAGGTATTTAATTTGGTTTTGACTTTTCCTTATGGTGGTTTTACACCTGCATGGAGAAGATACAAAAATGTACAATGTGCATGGTAAAAGAAAAGCAGCTTACTGTACTAGACTTCACAGATAAACTGTGCTGACATACAGTTCTGTCAAAAGCATAGTGTCAATGGAAAAAAGTACATCTGTTTTTCTTTGTTAATGATCCATTACTTGTAGCAGTAGCAGCTGAATGAGTTTTACTTGAAAGATTTTTTTGTGTTCTTTAATATAGAAAATGTTGCACGGTATTAGCCAGACTTGCTTCTTCGGGAACAGCTTTACATCAGAAAGTTGTCTTTGTGATGGGAATTAGCCAAAATGGGGAGGTTTTAATATTGTATTTCTAGAAGGAATTTTTATCATCTATCAGCTAATTGAATGGAGAATATTTATTACTTGTTGAGATACGGAATTTAGTTTTAAAAAGAAAAATGTTTGACAAATTATCAAAGTTAGTGTTGCCAAGAAGTTTTTGTACTTGTAGTTTGTTGATTGATCAGAAGTTGTTAAAGCATCAATATAAGCACGGTGTCTACTCACTTTCAGCTTTTTCCTTTGTATTTACAGTTTTTCCAGGTTGCACGGTGCTTTGAGTTTTGCTCTTATGTTTGCTTCATAATAATAAAGGACTAAATACCGTAGCCATTGGCTATTATGTGAGCATGTGAGGTCTTTGTATTATGTAGTTTTTCCATATTTGGCTCTCTTGGTATAGGTCATCTTTACTTCTGAATTCTGCAAATATGCTTACCAGAAGAATCAGTCATCTGTTAGCCTCTCTTTTGAGCTCAGCAGCCATCCTTTCTAGTATGAAATGGTATGTGCATCTGTCCACAGAGCAAAAAACAATAAGCGTGTGTTTGGATGTGCAATAAAATCAACTTCCTTGACTAGAAGGTTGAAATTTTCCTAATGTATCCTTCATCATTACAGGCACGTTTGTTTTACTTGTTTTTGTGCAATTGTGGTTTGGTTTTTTTTTTTAGATCTAAACACAGGCTTTGATGTTTAAGATAATTTTGAATCTGTGAGACTTTTGGACTTTATTTGTTAAAAGTTCTTGGTGTATTTTAGATTCTTTTATGGCTTCAGCATTTCCTTGTCTTTTCACAGGACCCCAGCTGAATGCACAACTAGAAGGCTGGCTTTCTCAAGTACAGTCCACAAAAAGACCTGCTAGAGCCATTATTGCACCGTAAGTTTGAAATCTGTTTCTAGTGTACATAATACTTGACTGGTTAAATGCTTCTTTATTTTGTGTGATTTTGAAAACTGTTGAAAGCTAGTATGTAGCTGAGAAGAATGTTGTGTGGTTTCTAAATAAGTGTTTTGGATGTGGCATAGAATGGAAGAAATCTGTGCACATTTTGGTGTATGGTTAGTTTCCTTTTGCTGATGGACTCCAGATGTAACATTCACTTGTGATCCAGTAAGACAGGTAAGAAGTGTATTAGTGGAGTAGTAGTCTAAGATGACAGCTCTTTCATGCACTTTTAGTGTAGAACAGATACAGCTATTTAAAAGAAACAAACAAAACCAAACCAAAACTCCAGCACACACACACACCCAATCAAAACTTAGCAAAGCTTAAAACAAAAGGTAATGGAACACTATTCAGCTATCCAAAATGGTTTACTTTTGTTATTTTAGTTTGGTTTTGTTAGGGATAAAAGAAACAAACAAAAACAAACCAAAACTCCAGCGCACACACACACACCCCCAATCAAAACTTAGCAAAGCTTAAAACAAAAGGTAATGGAACACTATTCAGCTATCCAAAATGGTTTACTTTTGTTATTTTAGTTTGGTTTTGTTAGGGATTTTTTTTGTCCACAGCAGAAATAGGGACCATCTATTTAGGTAGAATTCAATTTCCTGAAGGTAGCTGAGACGTATAATAAGAAAAGTATGTTGGTCATTCCAATTTATTATGAGTTGGAAGGAAACACTAGCAAAAACAAGTTAAATATGTTGTTTTTCCTGTGCTAACATAGCATTGACATGATGCTTGAAGTATTCCATAATGGTATTGGATATGCAGAAGAAATTGTCCCAGAAATCTGCCTTAGTCTTTCTAACAGGAATGGCAGGAAAGAGGTCTTTCAGCTGCAGATGAGGTAGCTTGGGTTCTTTTTCCAGAATCACTTGAGGTCTTCCTATGGTCTCACCAAACTTTCATTAACCATACCTTTATTTTCCCACTTGTAAAGTGGGATATGGCTAATAATAGTTTTGTTCAAGACTGAAGAAGTCTGTAGCTAAGGGAACCTTTCAGAAGGCTCTTTTGACACTGTCACATAACATATTTGGGTGGTTCACCAGGTCTCCCATTCCTCCCCTTAGTGTGTATGTTCAGTGCCTTTCTGAGCTCTCTACAATGAGTGAGGTAAGTGATGCTGAAGTAAAACCCCAGGGTAATTGAGGATAACTTGCTCCAGGTATCACTCTGTGAATGAGTACATAAGCATGTGAGCATACATTCATATAAATAAATATAAAACCTTGTGTTTAAAATATCAAAATCTTGATCTCTTGCTGTCAGTGGGGAACTTGTATCTTCCACCCTCCTGTATGTCCCAGGACTTGCAGCACATATCATCCTTACTATCGTTATATAAAAGGACCATCTGGAAGGCTGTCCTTGAGTTGTTGCACGTACTTGACTCAAAGTGAGCAGTGACTATTGACCTAGGGTCACAGGCTCTCCAGAAGTGATGTGGCCCAAGTGCTGTGCGATGTGGGCGCGGCCTTCTGCTGTGGATGTACTGCTGAGTGACTCTGAGCTGTTCTCCACCACGCTGCCTGGCACCCTGGGGGATGAACGTTCTCTGGAATCAATGTCTTTAGCAGTGTAAACTGAATCTTCTGCTGTTTTTAACAGTCTTGAAGAGAGAATGGGTCTTACGATTTGTGGGTGATATTTGAAACCAAATGGTCATAATGTAATTCTGAATGGTTTTGGAGCGCACACAAGTACAGAGGTTGAGAAAGGCTTTGGGCCAGAGAGGCAGGAAAGAATAAAGCCTGTATCTCATTCTCTGCAGTAAAAGCTGGTAGATGCTGCACTCCTCTCCTTCCCTGGTGACCATTTATTCTGTTGCTGAGGTGTTCTTCTTCAATGATAGAGCATTTGTAGTTCCTGTTTGTCTTCTGTAACATGTAGTCTCTCTATGCCAGACCCCTCTACTCTCCTCATGTTCAGTTACTGGAGCATGTCTGGAAGAGCTTTCTCCAGCAGCTTGCCACTCCCTTGGCCCTGGCTGCACTCGGGGTGTCATTGTCCCTGGCTGCACTCGGGGTGTCATCGCGAGCTGCGGGTAACGCGCCGTTGCGTAGCTTGCCTGCTGGTGTCTCCTACAAGTACCGAAAGGTGCTCTGGTCTGGAGGCTCACTTGCTTTCAAGTAAAGGGTCACTGATAGTGCTTTAACAGATGCATCTCTCGTACATTCAGTACTGCAGCAGTGCTCTCCAGCTCTTTCAGGAGCGGATTTTTTGGATCACCTTTTCTAGCTCATTGGGGACAAATAATATTTAAGATATTAATGTTAAATAGCAATAACAACATATTTGAGATATTAAACAATACTTAATGTCTTGTACACCTTGATTTGCAGCCATGCAGGGTATACCTATTGTGGATCCTGTGCAGCCCATGCTTACAAACAAGTGGATCCTAATATTACGTAAGTAGTAAAGCTTTTCTTTACAAAGCGTAAGGCAATGCCATTGCAGCTCTCTGAGAAGCAGAATGTTCTTTTTACATTCTTAACGCCTTGCAGTACTCAAATTTTACTTTTGTACTCTGTTTAGTATTTTATGCATCCCTTCTGTTTTAACATCATAAATGTTTAAATTGGTTGTTCCTACATAAATTTTTTCTTCAGCATTGTTGAAATTGAAAATGTAAAGTGGTATTTTCAATAACTATTAATTATTGGTAACTAATGTTTTAGAAGGGAGGGGTTAAAAATGTTCTTCTTTGCAGGTAATAGCATTTAATTTACTTTATTGCTTGACATTCCACTGCTTTTATAAAAGCCTAAGCTGGGTTGATTTTTACTGATCACAGAGTGTCTTTGTTTTGTTTGGAGGTTTTGTTTGTTTTTTTAAGTCTCTGAAAATATTTGATCATGATTCTGCATTGGTTTTTCAGTGCAGGATTATGGGCTGAATGCTACCAGGATTCTCTTCTGCTGTGGAGAAAGTGACCAGTGTGTGTATATGATATTGGAAGTCAGTGAAAGTTACTTGTTGTAATAACTTTAAATGGACTTGTGTTTCTAACAGCACAACAGTTTAAAAAAAGGAAAAATTTTAAAAACCCAATGTGCTACTGTAGTCTGTGCTTGACTCTGAAAATATGAATCCAGTTATTCTAGGTTAAAGGCATATAATTATACTGTATTCTGCTGACTGCAACTTTTTTTTTAATGACAAAATATTAAAAAAATCTCCAGTATTTACTCAGTATGCCTTTTGTGATGTTAATATAAAAACTGGGGATGTCTTACCTGTTGCTTATGAGATAACATGTTGTAATGCTCTCAAAAGACAATGGTTTTAATTCTTCTAAACTATTGTAAACAAAATGAAGGTAATTTAAGAAGTGTCAGATGACTAGTTTCTCTAGAATTTCTAGAACAACTTGCATTCTCCAGATTCAGTGACATGGAATAAATAGAACTTTCTGGATTATCTGCTATTTTACTGCATGGAAGTAGAATTTAGAATTCCTCTTTCAGCGGACGTATTTCACATTTGGATATTTTGTTTTTATGAGTTCTGTAAAAAGTTTTAGTATCTTAGTATAGCTTCCTGTAGCACTCCACATGTAAGGGGGAAACAAAAGAATCTTTACATGTCTCCCATCCCTTTAGTTCGGTGCCAGAAATGAGGTGATATGATCTCGAATTTGAAAAGCTGATTTTCCTATAGTTTTTTTTCTGTCTTTCTTTTCTTTAAGTCCTGTAGCAGGAGACTCTTAACATCTTATCAAGAGCCAGAAACTGAGGACTTGATGAAGTAACATGGTGCCGTGTGAAAGCTTGCAGTATCAGCTAAAGCTATGAATGTGCAGGTCCAAGTCCCTGTTGTTTATGCAACAGCTGGATAAAAACACCATTTGTGAATGACTTATATTTGAATTTGGTAAAATCTGAAGTAGGGCTAACCAAGTAAATAAGTGGAAAGCTCCGAATAGGTGATTAATACATAATCCTCGTTTGACGTCACATAGCTGTAGTTATTGAAGGTGGTGTGTAACTAAAGGTTGTGCTTGTCCAAGGAGACCAACTGAAAATGTGTGCTGAGGGGCCACAACACATCATTCATCCTCCACATGAGTCCAGTCAGATTTCTAGCTGAGGAGTGCCCTTTGATAGATGACCTTCTTAAGAGGTTTAAGGCTGCAGGAAGCATTGTTGAACTGATCTCATTATCATTTCTGTGTTGATGAGCAAGGCTAGCCCATGGATTGATCTGTGGTCTTAACACAGCAGAGTGAAACTCTATTGGTAACACCAGAAAGTATCACTTTGTGCCTTTTTATTAAACTCATTACTCTAAACCAAGTCTCTGTACAGCTGCAGTTGTCTAAATTGTGAGCTTTTGTGTTAATTGTTGTAGCCGAAAAATTTTCATTCTTGGGCCTTCCCATCACGTGCCCCTTTCCCGATGTGCACTTTCGAGTGTGGACATTTATAGAACACCTCTGTATGATCTCCGAATTGACCAAAAAAGTAAGTGCATGATAAAACTTACGTCTTGAAGGTCGCTGAGGCTTGAGTATTAACTGTGGTACTGCAGTGCTGAGGACTCTCCTTGGTGGGCACTTCGTTGCTTTTAAGTGGCATACAAGTATAAACCTGGTTTTACTGCAACGACAGCTATCTTCTGAAAGACCTTGGTGGTTGCAGGCATTGCTATATTGTAACCTTAGTGCCTCTCTTGCTCCTGCAAATTCAGAATTCTCAATCTTTGCTTATCTTTTCCACTATGAGTGCGTGCCGCTTGGCAAGTGATCTTTAAAAGGGATCTCAAAATTTAAAACGCTACATTTGAGTAACAGCCCACCATACACCTGCTCCATTATTCTATGAATTATTCTATCTGCAAACAAAAATAGTTGGTTTAAGTGATCTGAGTTTGTCTGATAGAGAAATAATAGAGGAGCAAAAAGCTAATTTTTATTTGGGTGCATTATTGCATGCAACACTTTTTAACTGGCAGAGTATCTATGGAAATTAAAAACTGTTAGCCCATGAAATACCAGTCTTTCATACTGAGCTTAAAGGTGCGATGAAGATAAATTTGATAGTTCGTCTTTCATGTGTTTTGAGGTATACCTAAATAATATTGTCTTTTTTTGGAAGGGCTAATAATTAGTGCAGCTATATTGCTATTTCATCACGACTGTGGTTAAGCAAGCTAGTTCAGGTTTCTACATAATGCCTGCAGAGGTTTCCTTGGGTAACACATGCTTTGGTTTCTGTAGAACTCCTTTACGGAGCAGAGGCACAGCCCTGTAGCAAACTGTTCATCCAGCAAAGAGCTTTCAAAATGTAGAGATGACTCTGCATACCACCAAGCACATCTGAGAGCAGAAAAGATAACTTATAAATGTGAATTACTTAACCAGTTTTCACTGTCTCTAGATTTCATGATTCAGTTAATAATAAATTGTATTATAGTAACACATCCAGCAGGGGCTGAACTGATCAGCAAATTGTGGTTTTATTTCCAAATATATGATAGTGTAATTTGTACAAATAGTTGAACGACTAGGCAAATGCATGCATTTTTTCAAATGTGTTTTATTTGTGTTACTTAAATTTTATATTCTAACTGAAAATCTTTCTCAATATACTAACAAGATCAGTAGTTTAACACACTTATTTTGTGAACTGAACCAATTATGTTTGTATCTTTATAGCTTGAACATAATTTTAATCCTGAATTTATTTTAAAACAAGTGGTTTATCATAGTCCTTGGCAGGAATTATTCTGTTATAGTGGGGTTGTTCAGATAAAGATAATGTTGTAGCTTGGTTTATAGTGGTGGTTTTTGGTTGTTTTGTTTTGTTGTTTTTTGTTTGTTTTTTTTTAAAATTAGTAAAAATTTATCTTTAAATTATTTCAGTTTATGGAGAACTGTGGAAGACTGGAATGTTTGAGCGTATGTCCCTACAGACAGATGAAGATGAACACAGTATTGAAATGCATTTGCCTTACACTGCTAAAGCCATGGAAAGGTACTAGGGCTAATTACTACTTCTGCAAGAATGAGCATTATGTGCACCAGATGTTTGGGCTACACGTGAAGTGCAGTAGGAAGCTTTAATACCCTTTATGGCATATAATACCCTATATTGTGTGTAATACAGTCCCTCATCCTCCAATAAAAATCTGAGGGAGGAGGATGTCAGAGTCTAGGACTATTTGCTGTAACAGAAACTGTGAGCAGAGCAAACACCTGAATAATGAAATTGGAACACACTTCATATACAAGTTTATATGTTTGTATTGACATAATAGAATTAATATTAGACATGCTTTCATGAATCTTTCTCAAGCTGATTTTTATTTTTCAATTTTGCAAGGCATTTATGAAAGAACTTCAAATACCAATAACTGTTTTCTGTGAGATTTTATTTGTTTGGAGCCTTAATACTAATATTGAAATCAGGGTTCTGTTTACACCTGCTATTTCAGATGAGTACTTTGAATAATTTTTCTTTAAAGGTGATCATTTTTTGTCAATTTGTGGTATGTGGTGTGTGTTTTTTCACTCTTTTTTTTTTTTAATTTTTCTTCCATAGTAGTTGTAATTTTCCCTGCAGTATCAACATACCTTGAGTGCAATCCTGAACATTTTCATATATGCTGGAAAATTACTCAACATTTGTGCAGCATCTATACAGGGAGAACATAATTCTCACTTTATTGCTGGTTTCATTATATCTTTTTGTTTGCCTGATGTTTTCACTTTGTAGCAAACAGAAATACTATTGGGGGGGGAGACTGGGGAGAGAGCGATTTCTTTTCTGAAACTGAAGTTTCAAGTCTAAAACAACTTCCTAGCATGACCTTACCAAATGAACTGTATCTTCAGTTTAGTAGTCCCCTTCTAAAACATTCTGCCATTTCCATTAGTAAGCCCTGAAAAAATTTCAGATGTTACTTGAATTACAACATCTTTTCTTTTGCTTATAAGCCATAAGGATGAGTTTACTATTATTCCTGTGTTGGTCGGAGCACTGAGTGAGTCAAAAGAGCAGGAATTTGGAAAACTCTTCAGTAAATACCTAGCTGATCCTAGTAACCTCTTTGTGGTTTCTTCTGACTTTTGCCATTGGGGTAAGTTTCTTATCTCTTCAGTATAACAGTATGATGAACATTTTGTAGTGATTTTCAACTAACGTATTTGTATTGAACATTGAGTGTTTTAACTTCTGGTAAATGTATTTTTGAAACTTAAATGCCTTTGTAAAGCTAAAAAAGGATTTTTCTTTTTTTGTATCTGGAACAATAGATGAAAAATATTTGTGGTAATGTGTTTTCAGTGTAGTGGAGGAAATGGTGAAGGTATATGGGTTCATATGCACCTCCTTACTGCTATAATGAAATGAGTGTCTGAAGTTTCTTGTTATTCTTCTTTTTAAGCATCTCAAAGCAACTTGCAAAACTGATTAGTTAAAAATTCACTGGACATAGCAACATCTCTCTGGTGGAAATAAGTATTGTACATGTTATTGCTGGGTAAGACAGCAGATGAAGTATTTATACCAATTCACCAGAGCTATCCCAGTTCATCTTGGTAGCAGAGCTATAAAGACTCTCCAGAAGCCTTGACTTCTGTCCTGCTTTAACACTTTATTTTTCTTTTAAGTGTGATAGCTGGAAAAAGGACTGCTTCAGAAAGATATGTTTTGTACTACACAACAGACCAACTTTTCTTTTTTCATTGTCATCTTTGGTCAACTTACGTAATTATGTGCATATTTTACTTGTCTTTGAATTGTGGAGTAGCTGGAGGTATGTAAGAGTGATCTGGCTTCTGCTGTGGCTAATGAACCGTTTAGAACTGTTCATCGAATTATCATGAACTTTTTCCTTTTAACCTCCATTTACTGGGGTATTGTTGTGCAAGCAGAAGTAGCTTGACTGCAGGGTTGACTTTGTCAAGAGGGATAGTGAAATGAAATGTTATTTTTCTTTTGAGTTTATAGAACTGGATTTCAAGGCATTAACAGGCAATTAGTGATACTGTGGTGTCAGTTCTAAATAGTAGGTTTTTCTTTAGGAATATAGCTGCCCACCTTGTATTCTTTAGTTTGCCTCTGGGCTGCTACTTTGCCCTAGAATTTCCTCAGTGAACCTAAAAAGTATAAAATAAATGAAGATTACTACTTGACAAATATTATAATTTCAATTATTTAGTAAGTACTAGGGAGTGTTTTAGCTACGTTTTTTCCCTTTTTTATTTTATACATGATTTTTGTTTCAAGGTCAGAGGTTCCGTTACAGTTACTATGATGAATCCCAAGGAGAAATTTATAGATCCATTGAGCACCTAGATAAAATGGTAAGTTTTCAGATTTGGTGGAACTAACTAACAAATTTCTCCTGTACATTACGTTTCTTTGAACACTTCAGAAATTTCTCTAACAAAATATTATAGATTAGCTATTTTATTGAATGTATACTTTTCTTTTGTTGATGACAGTAAGAACTTAGCTGTTGGTTTTTAGCTAGTGTCCTCCATTTTACTGACTGCACACTATATATTGTGGGTATAATCTAGTAGGCATAATACATGAGAATAAATGCATGTTCACCTACCTCAGTATAATGTAATTCCTGTCCACATACCCTCTTATGTTTTCAAGAAGCAATAAGAATTATGAATTGTCTATTGTTCAGGCTTGATAGCTATGATACCTGCATATTGAAACTGTGTCATGATTATGCTAACGGGTTCAGCAGTCTCCATTTTGAGGAGGAAAGGCTGTAGGAGGTTGTGCTGGTCAGGAAAACAAAAGTTACCGTTTCCTTGGGAGTAGTTTTCCCTCCACCCCTTACTCTGTAGTAGGTGGTGGGGAAAAGCAGCAGACTATGCTTCATTCTGGGTTTTGCAAACAGCTGAAAGGGATGCTAAGTACATAAAGATCATGATGCCAATTATGTAGAGTTTTCTTTGCAGTTGTAGGAGCCAAGGATTTCTTTTTAAATGAAAAAGAAATGTATTAACATTCACGATTGTAATTAAGGCGTAGAATAGAAGAAACTCTTCTGGAAATCTGTAACCTTGCAATTTGTTTTAAAACTATTTGGATTATTTAACTTTTCTAGAATCTTTTAGAAGAGAACTTGTTATGTTAGTTTCTTTCCTACTCTTGAAGGACTAAATCCTATCTTCTAAAGAGATTTTTTTTTTCCTTGCTTTGTCTATCTTTATTATGTCGTTGTTTTTCCACTATTCATTACTGGAATGGAAACAGTAAATAATTAGCCTTCATTCTGTTTATCCCATTTTTTTATAATTCTTGTTGGCAGTTAAGAGTTTTCTCTAAAAAAACCAAATGTTTTTCTACAGAGTCCTAGAATTTGCAGCTCTGAGCGTTTTTGCAGAAGAGCAGATTAAGGTGCATTAGCAAACATTAGTTTCCCCTGGTTAATTTCTGTGGTGAAAGCTTGTAGAAAGACTGGACTTCGCATTTAATTACTCTAAGTGAATACATTGCTGCACCAGCTTGCTCTTCTGGTAGTTATTCAACCAAAAGGAAATTGTTTTTTGTGGCATTGAAAATTATGTCTACTGTTTAATAGCTATGAAAATACTTTTTCAGTCTTAAGTTTAACTGGAAAACTAAGCAAGCTGCATAGCAGTAGTGTGGTGGTTTTTTGCTTGTTGATATCATGCCATTTGTGGACACGTGACTCCATATTCAGACTTGGTAAAGAGTAGGTTTTGCTTTTGATGAATTTCAGAAATTTTTTTTTTAGCAGTACCGTGGATACACTTGGGATCCACAATGCCATAAAGATCTCCCTGTCACGTTTCTCAAGATTTTGGAAAGAATTTATTCCATTTTGTATCCCCTGTTCAGCTACTTCTTCTTTCCCTTGATGAGTATTGAATTTTTAAATGTCATTTGGCAAGCTAAAGAAACTTGCATTGTTGTAACCACCAGGCCCCTCCACAGAGAAAATTGCATGAAGTTAAAACTATGTTAAAACCATCAGAGGTTTTAACCTCTGCTATTACTGGCCAAATAACTTCTTTTGGACCTAAGGAGGAGAGCAATCATCTGAGCACTTTGTAAGTGAAGAAGGAAGATACTCTGGGTTAAGATGAAATTCCTTTTCATTAGAAATGCCCTTTTGGGAGGATAGTGGCCTATTCCTTACTTGGGCAGGACCTGAAGTACAGATGCATGATGCTTTTCCTGGCTAGTGCATAAACAACACTGAATGCTTTGGGCACTGAAGATTACTAACATGGCAACTGCTGTGAGAAATTTTATTTGCTGTAATTTTAAGTTAGAGCCCTTTGACTCCAACATAAAAAATACAGAGTAGTAAGTATTGCTGGACAGACATAAGTTTCTCCATGGTAACTCTTCATGTGACTGCTGTTACCCTGGGAGTACCACGGTGCACCTTGTGAAGGCAAAAGGAGTAAACAGCTACATGGTTGATAGGGTACCTTAGGGAAGAATCCTCCAATGAAGAGTTATAACTGAGCAGCTGATGTGCAATCATTTGCTTGTATATTGTAACCTGATACCTACCATCTTTTTAAGTAAAAGTAGGGGAGTATTCCATAAGACATTGAAGGGTAATTATTTTTTTATTATTATGGCTAACTAGAAACAGCAGTGTGCTCACTTCAATCTTCACTGCCAGGTTGCTCATTTTATCAGTTTGTGAAACCTTTTACCTCACTCGAGTACCCCTGCCTGCTGAGGGGGAGGACATGCAGGGGCTGAGGAGGGTGTGCAGAAACAGCCAGCAGTGTTGTGCAGGAGTAGTGCATAGCACGGGTGGCTTCTCGGGTGTCTCTAGCGAACTTCTGAATTCTAGTGGCTTCTGCAGTGCCTCTAAGGTGTGCCAGCACCTTCCACAGTGCTCCAGCCTGGGAAGGCTTCTTAGCTTGGGCATAAGGCTAGATCACAGCTCTCTGCCTGGGTGCCCAGCTCACTGCTCTCTTCTGTGCCCAGCCAGTAATTTTCCTGTTGGTTATTTATCTTCTAGTCTGAGTGACTCACCCATGCAAAGAGAGTGGGGCTGGCTATGCTAAGACCAAGTTTGTTTCTGCTTCCATAAGCCAGTATTGCTACTGGCTTAATTTTTTTTTTTTGTTAAGTATTATGAAGCAGCTGAAGTAATGGATTCAAACAAGCTTGACCAGCCAAAGGATTATGTATACTATAAGATAAGCCTGTGGGGTTTTTTTGGTTTTTTGTTTTTTTTTTTTTTTTTTTATAAGCTTGTAGATACTTGATTCTACAGAGGCTGATATTTAAGAATGTAATTGAATTAATCATATTAAGTGCACTGTGCTAGGATATTGTAGATACTATTTACAGTATCTAAGTAACTGAGATAATTTCTACGTTGTGCCTTAACCACATGATAAACTGCAGAACCTTGTGATGGTTTGCATTTTTATCATGTGGGTTTTGTCGTATATTTTAGCTCTGTTCTAAACCATGCCCAGCCGAGTTATTTTGAATACTGAAAATTATTAGCTTCATACTTCTGCTTTTTAGAAAAATAAAATGCAATCTGACAAAAATGCTTCCTTTGTCTGCAGCACCATTTTAGCCTGAGAAACAAGCTTCAGTCTTTGCCATGATGATTTTTAAACCCTAAAGATTGAAAAGTTCAGTACAGCTGAATGCTTATAGGATGTGTGTTAATACTTTTCCTATGGATTTTCTCCAGTCTGTGTTGTATGGAGCTCTGTTAGCATTTATTGGGATGAACTGCATAGCTCTAAATGTTTTGCAGTGCTGAACTGTGCATTGAAATAAGCTTACTAGGCATTCTGATAAATCCACGTCTGCTCATTTGAGGCATATGCTCAAATGCCTCTGCCCAGTATGCTCCAGTGACTTACAGCCATAAAATGAGTCTCTCAACTGAGCAGCACTGTCATTTTTTAAAAAGTTGTGAAGGGGTTTACAAATGGATAAGATATATTCTTATGAGCTGTTCAGTATCTGAGTAAGTGCCTTAAGTGTGTTTAGTTTTAATTGAGTATATAATTAAGTTTGGTTCTGCTTTCTTTAGCTGTGTATTGGCATGTCCAATTCACAAGTAAATGGATGGTTTAAAGACATGCTGCTTGAACTTTGGAAATGCAATGGTATCTGTGATCACTGCTAGTTAGACATAGCTACCTTTTGAGGTTTTGGCACTCATTTAGGTTTTGTAGATCTGGAGCGAGTAACAGCTGTAATTACTGGTCAGGGGTCAAACATCCTCTCCATGACCCTGGAAGAACTGAGATTTTGCCAGCAATTGGTCAGCATAGTTTGGTTTTATTTTTTCCATAAAACGTATTTCTTTATGAATTCGCCTTTCATCTGGTTTTAATTAAAAGTACACAAAGGTGGTGGTTATGGTTGCTGTTTCCTAATCCTTCCTGACTCCTGGGAATCTCCTGCTCCTCCAATTGTAAGCTGTAATCCAGTCTGAATAATTAGCCTGTTTGCCAGATCAGCCAACGCCCTCAAAGTATTCAAGAGGTTTCACTCTTGAGGTGGAGACTTCAGACAGACTGGCTGCTTCCCACATCATGATTTCTCCTGTTATTACACATGCTTTGGAAAGCAGGGGAAGGAGCTGGGACAATCGCAGAAACCTTAGGAGAAATTCTCTCCCTTTCTGATATCAACCTCCCGTTACTCCCTTGCAGTGTACGGGTTTTTCCAGTCTCTAAGGGAACCTTGTTTCATCAGCTACATGGAAGAAGCACAGCTATGTCTCTTACTGAATTAGTGAGTGTCTGGAGCTCATTTACCTGGTGAAGGGAATTAATCATTTTGACAGGAAGGGAAAACATGAGAGGATGGAGTCTAATACAGGGAAAATGGCAAAGCTGTGATAAAACACAGACAGTAATTGATTTAGACTTGCATTAAACTGCTTTCATTGTATTTGAACTGCTCTGTGGGATGGGGTCAGAGTAGGCTGTATCTAGAGTTGTAGGATTCTGTCTGCTTTTAAGAATGCAAATGTTTGTATATATGGAAGGTTTTGTTTTCCAGATGTGAGCTGGGTTTCATAGTATGACTCCATGGGATCATGGATCTTACTGTGGATGGAGAAAACGATGTATATATATGACTGCCTCACATAAAGTGGAAGCTTCATCTCCTGGCTTCTCTGTTTGTCGTGCACCAACTTTCTAGAGATTTAGATATTCTGGATCTGCTTTCTGAGCTCTGAGCAGATGGCCAGCCTGTGCCCACATCAACTGCCTTGCATGTGTGATGTGTCTAGGGCACGTTACTCTTCCTCTGCGCTTGAACTGCATGTGTGTATGTTGATGATTTGTCTAGGATTTTTGGCCATCCAGAAGTCCCAGGCAAGTGCTCAGCCCTGAGCTTTGTTACTAGGGAGAGGAGATGGAGGCAAAACTTCTTCCTGCTTTGCCCGTTTAGTAAATCTGTGTGGTTATTGCTGTACAAAATACTACGGAAGCAGGACAGCCTTGGAGGTGGGGATGAGCTAGTCTGCAGGAGGAGTTTTTTTAACATGAACTTCACTGGTATCTGCAGAGATAGCTTCACAGATCTTGACATGGGATCACTGACAGCTTTGGAAGAGCTCCTGTGCTTTTAGTCTGGCAAAGGATGGCAACAAGCTAGAGCTCACATGCTGCAATTCCCTTGATACAAAGTAGAGGGTTTTTTCTCCTGAAGTATTCTGTGCTATCATAAATAGGTGTAAACACCTGCTTATGTATGTGTGAAGTAATCGTTGCTATTGATTCTTTTTCAGGGTATGAGCATTATAGAGCAGCTAGATCCTGTATCTTTTAGCAACTACTTGAAGAAGTACCATAATACAATATGTGGAAGACATCCTATTGGCGTATTATTAAACGTAAGTAACTTTTGATTTGTTCAAAAAATGAAACTTATTTTCAAAATGCCTGCATTTGTTTAAACACAAATATTTCTGGAGTACTCCTTGGTTCTAAAATGGCAAGTCTTTGAATTTATTTTTCAAAGTGTTCTCAATTTGGTCTCCAGTTACCGTATTTTGCATATGGACAAACACAAGCTCTTACAAGGGCCGGAGTTTCTCCATTCCCTAAGTGAAATGAGGTATCATGTTCCTTTTGGATCTCACTGAAATGCAGTCATTCTTGGCCCTCATTAAACAAACAATTGCAAATGTTGTCTCTCTGAGTATCAGTGCAGTGCACCATTAACTCATAAATTAATGGCAATCAGAATTCAGATTGACTGGTACTTTCTGGTTACCCTATTCTGCTTTGGTGATGCAGTGCAGATGTACACCTAGCTTAACTTAGTTGTCTAAATTGGGTCACAGCTGCTTCACAGCACTGCTGGTGTGCTGCAGGTTTGTCATACTGCTTGAGTAGATCTCACTTTATTTTTACAGTCATTCAGATCTGAAACAGGAAGCATGTTAATCTTTTTAAAAGGAAAACTTAATTCACTGGGAAATGTAGCCTGTATGGAGACATAGAGGAACTTCTTAAAGTAGAGCCTATAAAAGTTTGTGTGAGCAATACCAATATTGAGGATGCATATAGCAGAATTCAGTACTATGACAACTCTGCAAAACTATCCAGGTCTTAACCACAGATAATTATTAGTTTTGCCGTGAATCTGAATTAAATTCTGTCTGTTCACTTTTGCCAGTTGTAACACTTTAATAAATTATGTTGATACATTTTTTTCCCTTAATGGAAGAAATATGGCCTAACAAGTGTTAACAATGTTGGAGTTTTCTCCTGTTACATCTGTGTTCCTCTATCAGTTCCCTATGAAATCGAAAGCATTGTTTCTAGAGGATCTGTTTTGAAAGGTTGTTTAGCATTGCTCTGTGTTGCACTGGGGGGAGCGTCGGTGAATGGAACGGTGAAGAAATGGGTTAGGTCCACAGATTAGTCAGAGGTGCTTGTATGATGAGAGACGGCACAAGGACCCTCAGGGGCAGGGCAGAGCACTGAGATCTAGAGAATGTCATAATTTCACCAGTACCTTTTTTTAAAATCGCTTTTTCCTCCCCTCCCTCTCTCTTCAGGCTATCAATGAGCTCCAGAAGAACGGAATGAACATGAGCTTTTCATTTTTGAATTACGCTCAGTCCAGCCAGTGTCGGAACTGGCAAGACAGCTCAGTGAGCTACGCAGCCGGGGCGCTTATGGTCCACTGACCCACCGATCGCTCAGGGAGGGCACCTGCACACGCGCTCCGGACGGGGCCCGGCCCAGCCCTTGCAAAGATACAGTCCCTGCTCTTTGGGTGTACCGAAACCTCAAACTAATAGAACTCTTCTTTTCTAGTAGGTGTAGTCCTTCCTTAGTTTCGACTCATTTAATAAATGCTTTCTTGTTTAGGACAATGGAAAGAAGGCTGGTATCAAAACCTTTTGTGATTTATTTTTTTGTTTGTTTGTTTTTTTAAAAGGTAATGGCTATGAAGGCATGGTGGCAGACAGTCCTTACAAATAGAACATGTAAAGCATTTACCGTATCCTAAATTTGCACTCTTTGCAGACCTGTGCACATGTACTCAGCTTTCAGAATAGTTTTGCAAGTTGTAAATGGAAAAAAGGGTGGAAGCTTTTTAATAAAAGAAAAAGAAGGAAAACCACGCATTTATAAATGATCCTGTATTAGAATATAATAAAACTCCAGTATAGTCAGTTACTACCCGTGATGTACAACAGATATCTTCTATTTTAGTTGCTAATAAAGGGCTACACAAACCAAAATAGTCTGATTTAAACTTATTGCTTTGTGTTCTGTATGTGGCTGCTTGTCATTAACATCCTTTTGTCCTCAGTTCTTATGTTTGATAGTTCAGCCATTCTGTAAAATACTTCAGAATGTATTTTATAGTCAACAATTGTTACGACTACTTAATTTACAGGGGTTTTTTAATCTTAAAGCTGCACTATGAGTTCAGCTGTGTGAAAGAATTTTGAATATTCTAATTTTGTATATTCTAATTCTTCTTGATTTACAATTACCTATAAAATAATATCTTTTAGTATGTGATGGAAATTTGTATCAGAAATACACTTGGAATGATTTTTATGCTCAGTTTTATTATTCAAGTGAAATAGATGCAGTATTTTTATTTGAAATTACTTTAAAAACAAACAGTAGCTTGAGACTGATAATTCTTAGAGTATCTGTCTAGCATTTATAGTCCACAGAAGCCATATAGTGCTAAGATCTAGCAACTGCTTCTAAAAGATTTAATTGGTAGGGGAAGGTAAGGCTTCTTTTTTTTTAATTTTTATTTTTTGTTTTCTTCTTTGACTGGGTAGAATTGTTTCGTGTTCTTTAAACATCATCACATCTTAAGAGTTCTTGAACTTTCTTCCAGCCAAAATACTGGTGTAATTATGAGTTATCATTCTTGAAGACTCCCTTCTGTTCTAATATGAAATGCAAAGTAGGATGGCAGTACTGGCTCATTATCTAAATGGAGATTTCATTCCCTGATATTTCACCTGCTGTCATGCAGCTTCTTGGTACATACAGCTTTTCTGAGTGGTAGAAGGGAATTTCAGAATTAAATTTAGATTATCTTTGAAAGTTGTGGGAATTGCTGCATGCAAAGTCTTCACCTGAAAGCGTACCAGACATCTTGTTTATTCCTATTAAAATACACATATGCAAAACAGGCACTGTTTGCACCACCTGTTTTCCTTATCACAGTTGGCCACCACTTAAATAACAGGTGAATGCTCCATTTACTAAATGAACTACTTTGCAGACATTCAGACTCCATCCCAAATGCCAAACTCCTTTGCATGTCCGTTCTTTTAGTTGCCTTATTGCTCTGCCTTGTTCTTGAAAAGAAGTCTCAGCAGCAGACAGGGAAAGCACCGTTCAGATTACTCTTCACAGACTGTCGGGAAGGCTGTGCAGGCAAAACTGAACTGGTTGGCAGTCTTTATATAAATATTTGTCTGACTGTGCCTTATTAAAAAAGTAGTTTGATCATAAAGTTGGGGTTTTTTTTAAAAATCTTTGAATACAAGTTTAATTAGGACTCAGGTTTCGTTCAGTCTTATGCCAAATGCTTAAGGTCATTATTGAAACACATAGTTAATTAAAACAGTTCAGTATATACTTTCTCTCTAAGGTAAACTTAGTAATTAGCTCCTGAATACAAATGCTGAAGTTGCATCTTAGTTTTGTAAGATAATTAAATAAAAACAAACCATAACTGGAAGAGCTTCAAGGAAACTGGTCGGCCACTTTGCTCAGCACATTGTTATGAAATCTCTTACAGTGAAAGCACTTCACCTGTAAACTGTGTAATGTATTTCAAAATAAAATTTCTAATTAAAATGGGAATTTCTGTGCCTACTAATAATAACCACCAATGACAGTTCAGAAGCCCACTCAGAGAGCTATTTAAAGCTTTGTGAAATCTGTAACTTACAGGGTTTTTACAACAAATCCTTCTTTGTTTGAAAGCATAAAACACCTGGCTTCAAAGAACTCAATTTTTTTATGCTGTTTTGGTGGGGTTGGAGGGAATTGACTTCAGTGCTCAGTTTCCTGCTGTGGCAGTTTAAAATGTGTCAGAAGGAAAAGCAAGTATCTCCTGAAAATATCTTCATTCAAGAGTAGTTTAATTATTTTAGCTTTTCCATATGATGTATTCTCACTGAAATACAGATGTGAGTATAGCATTTTGGAACAGAGGGTCTGCCTTGGGCAATATTGAATATTCACAGTCCTGTTCACTTCTGTGAAGGTTTCTTCTATGCGTAGGATGACTGAGCTTTGACCACTCTTCTGGTACAATAAATCCAGCCCAGGGCCTGATTATCATTTTAAAATTTTGGCATTGTACAGAAATGTTCGATGTGTGAAAATGTTGTTTAAAACATTCCTTTGTTTTTCTGTTCTTGCTCACAAAAGAGCTTAGTGGTTTTGACATTGAAATGTTGGAGCATGGACGTTGAATGAAGGAGCAGTAGGTCTTCCACTGCTTTGGGTTTGGCTCAGCAGAAGCAGAAGGTGTGGGCATCAGCAGCACTCCACTGGGGGCCACCTCTCACTTCTCACATTCCCCGGGGTGCTCTCGGAACTTCCCTGTGGCTGCTTCAGCTCCCAGCCCACCTCAGTTCCTAACCACTGTTTTGCTTTATTTGTTTTAAAAATCATGGATTTGAGTCAATGTTACTACTTGAACTGAGCTCTTATTCCAGTGCAGCATCCTTTCCTGCAGCCTCTGGAAGTGCTGAGTTCTCCCAGGCGTTTTTAGGCCTAGCTCGTGCTCTCGCTGCTTCCTAGCTGGGGGCTCGTTGCTGTGTCTCGGGTGGTTTGGATATTGCTGTACGCTTTACTGGGGAATTTTGAATTGACATTTGATGCACTGAAGTGGGCTGTTTCTGTTTTATGCCTGCACAGAGTCTCCCAGTACTTTGTCATGTCATTTTGGTGGTTGGTGTAGGGTTTTTCCATTTTGTATTTGTCCCTTTCGCCTTACTCCCTCAAGCATCAAAAGAAGCTTTGCTTTCAGATGACATCAGTCACCGTGATTTGCAGTTATTTCCTCAGGCTGAGTTCAGTGTGCTAACTAGCATCTGATCCACTCTCAAAAATTGCCCAAACAATTTTGTTCATGGGGAAATATTCAAAGTCCCTTGTATAGGCAACCTTTTGCCTTCCTACTTCTGTGAGAAACGTTCTGAAATTAACCTTTGAGGCTAGCCTATGAAAAGATCTTCAGTATGAGGAAAAACTAAATTTCAGGGTCCAGTTTAGTGCACCCCAAAGACTTGAGATGTTTTGGTTCAGGGCCCACAGTGCAGCCAGATGGCCTTTTCAATAGATGGTTGCAAAACATGATTTGGAATTGGGTTTTTGACAGGAACTGACTATTCTTTCAGTCATGCAAAATCTATTGCCGCTATTCTAATTGTCTCTAGAGCTCTTGTTTTTAGTATTTTTTTTTTTTTTTCCCTTTTTTGATTTTGTCTACTTGTGAAAATAATTTGTCCATGCATACTGCAGACAATTTCCAGATGCCTGGTGTCATTTGGGGGCTGTTCTTCTCCCAACATTATGCCAGGGCCTGAAACACCTCTCCCAGTGCAGAGACCCAGGAATGAAAATGTTGTGGTAGTGATAACTCTAAGGAAGAGATGATGTCAGTTTGTTTGTTTGCTTGTGTTCTCTGGTGTGTGTTGGTTGGGGGGCTGGGGAGAGGGGTTTGGCAGGGGCTTGGATCTTTTTGGAAAGGGCATAGAAATGAGGAGAATAGGCATAGACAAAGAAAATGGTGGTTTTTCCAATTTCCTGTCAGCAGCTGTTCTGCTATTCTGTTTGGGAGCCAACAGTCTGCAAAATATTGCCCAGTGCAGCTGTGGGCTGGATGCAGTGGTGGGAAGCCTGTTACTGATGCTCTGAAGAAAAGAGACGTCAGGAGGTGTTTTGTCAAGTGTAGCTCTATTTGTTGAAGCTCAAGGCTGAGAATCGTATGCCAATATCTTATAAGTTACAGGTAAATAAAGGTGTCTTGGCCTTCACACAAAGGTGACAGATGGATCCCCACATCCCTCTGTTTCTAAGGTGATGTGTTTGGTTCTTTGTGGATTTAAGAGAAGTAAATAATTACCTCATTATTTACTCCCATTAAAGAATTATCCAAGCATTCAAACTGGTAATGGGACTTTAGACTTCAGTGATACAGTACCTGCTCTGTATATGGCAAAGACCTAAATGACAGGAAGAATAAACCACCATGTTAAGCATTAAGCAAGTAACTCTGAATCTACATTTCTCAGATTTGCTGCTTCTTTTTTCTTAGTGAATTTTAAAACATTTAAAAATTTTCCTGAGCCTGTGACTTGCAGCTTCATGAGACTGAGAACAGCAATGCTCTTGGGTGAAGTCCCTTCTTTGGTAAAAGGTGTTTAATTGTATTTTTCTGCTGAACTCTTGCAGCACAAAATTGAGTACTTGCTCCAGGGGCAGGTAGAGAAAGGTCTCCACGTGGGATGTGTTGGCTGATACCTCAATACTTAAAAGACTTTCCATTTGTCTTCAGGAATTGTTACAAAGATTTGAAGAGTGAGCCTTTAAGCTTAGCTGTGATGAATCAGTGTTGAGCTCCTGCATGGTTTTTATTATAAAATTCTATTTTCCTTTATGTTCACAGTTCAAAGTGCTGGTGTAACAAACGACGTGCCAGCTACAAAGAGGTGGTGTGGGACTGCTCTCTGGTGTCACAGCTACACTCAGGGAGGAAATCACACTTTCTGCATTGTAAGAAATGCTTCCCTGTTTGCAGGGCTGAGATGTAACCAAATGCTCCTTCCAAGCTGTCCTGAAATAAACTGACGTGGTTGTTGTATATACGCACTTAGCTCTGGTACATGCTCAGTGTTTCATCCACCAGCAGGGTGAGGGGATGTGTTACTGATGTGTGTGTGCCCCCTGTATTTCCAAGCCGACTCCAAAGCACCAAGGTTGTGGGTTGTGTGGGAAAATAATGGCGGTAACGTAGATAACAGATAGCTGATGGCAGGTGTAAACCTTCATGGAAACTACACGGGTATTCTCAGGTTCACTTGAAAAAAATCAAACCTCAAGAAACCAAACAACCCCCAAAAACCGCGTCAGCGTATTTCTGGGAAGGGCGCGGGGC